AGGGGTCTGGATCAGTCTTATACTGGCCTCCCAGACAGCATCTGGGGTCTATGTGTGGGGAGAGAATTCTTAAGAGGCGACGAAGATGGGGATGCCCCTTCTCTCTGGCCACGCTAGCTTGCGGCCTCTGGGCACATTCTGGCTTGTGTTTGGGCTGGTGTTTATCTGAATAAAGAAATCTTAGCCTTACGGACTATGGATCATCTTTGTGCACACGTAGCACGCAATAAATGAGTATACATAAAACACATGGTTTCCATTTCCCTTACATGCCTAAACATCCTATTATAAACAAAAGACAAATTATCCCATAAATCCACATGTGATCATATCTAAACAACTTATTATAGATTGGTAGAGTATACAAAAGCAAGGTATTTTCTTAGCCAGTTCCTTAACTAGCAGGCTGCATTTTGCAGTTCCAAAGAAAGGATGAGTTACTTTATTTCTTATATTAAAAGATAATCTTGGAAGAAAAATTTAAAGAATCACAAATCTGAACTTTTATATATGAAAACCACTCATTCATCTCTAGTTTAAATCCTCAAGATGCATACCTATACACCCTGTTCTTCAACAGATTTTTACATCAGGAAGCTGATGGCAGAAATATGAACAAGGAATTGAACAACCTATTTGATCCTCAACCCATCCTTATAAGAAAGGCACATCAGCTAATAATACCTGAGCTACTTTGTTCTTGTTCCGTCGAATCAATGAGTCCCTCACTTAGCTGTGTGCCTTTCTAAACTTGGACTATTTCTCCAGGTTTTTCACCTCAAAGCTATTAACAATTACATTTTAACCTAAACTTAAGTGATATTTATAGTTTAATTTTAGCTATGATGCATACTGAAAACCACGAACACATCTCTCAACATTAAGATTAAAAAAAAAAAACTTAGATAACCTAGTGATTGGGTCACAATTGTTTTCTGAATCATTAACCTAAGCCACAGTCTATATGTCTCCTCAAGAGAAAAGGACCCTGTGACATTTCCTTAGTTTTATTTTCTAGCTTCTTTAGTACCTGCTGTATCACAGGCAGGGGAAAACCATATATTGCTTTTACCTATATTAGCTTTTCCATTAAGTTTTGCTTCCTGGTTGACCACTATCCTGAAATTTTATTGCCACCTGATGATTCTGTGACATGGCCAACAGCAAAATGTCACATAAATACTGGTTTGAGTTTTCCTAGTAAAACTATCTGCTATTTGTAGAAAAGTGAAGACTATCAGGCAGACCTCACTTTCATTTTTTTATAATCAACTCTTTCTTTCTCCTTTCACACAGTGCCATATGGATCATGGTTTGAACACACTCGTGGCTGGCTGTCCATGAGAGGAAGTGAAAACTTCCTGCTGCTGAGTTATGAAGGCATGGACAAAGTAACTGCCATTCTTACAGCAACCACACAGCCTCTCACCAGCTCACTCCATGCAGCACCCCACATTCCTCCGTATCCCCATTCCACATTCTTTGTTAGGGTTAGGCTCATGGAGAGCTAAAAGTGAGATTACGCCCTATGTCCTCTTTTGACCTGCATCTGACATTTCCTAGCCAGCCTACTTGTCCACCACCATTTTTCATACACTACTCCTTCCTTAGTTATGGTAGAATAGCTCACACGTGTACTACAGATTTTCTTAAGTCATTTTTTTAATTTGAATTAGAATCAAGATTGTTTTACATGACAATCCCAGTTCCCTTCTCCCTCCTGTCTTAACCTACCACCCCCAACTAAAACACTATCTATCACATGTCCTTTCTTCTATTCTTCCCCTGACTCAAACTTTCTGCTCCCTCATGACCTCTGCATCCTTCCTCTTCTTCCCTTCTCATTCTTGTAGCTCCCTCCCCCCTCTTCTCGTGCTCCCAATTTGCTCAGGGGATCTTGACCCTTTCTCTTTCTCCAGGGGACCATGTATGTCTCTCTTAGGGTCCTCCTTGTTTACTAGCTTCTCTGGCAGTGTGGATTGTAGGCTGGTAATCCTTTACTCTATGTCTAAAATCCACATACGAGTGAGTACATACAATTCCTGTCTTTTTGTGCCTGGGTTACTTTGCTCAGAATGGTTTCATCTAGTTCCATACATTTTCCTGCAAATTTCAAGATTCCATTGTTTTTTTTCCACTGAGTAGTACTCCTTTGTGTAAATGTACCACATTTTCTCTATCCATTCTTGAGTTGAGGGGCATCTAGGCTGTGTGCTGCTATGAACATGGTTGAACAGATGTCCTTGTTGTATGAATGTGCTTGTTTTGGGTATATGCCTAAGAGTGGAATTGCTGGATCTTGTGGTAGACTCATTCCCATTTACTTGAGGAGTCACCACACTGATTTCCAAAGTGGCTGTACAAGTTGGCACTCCCACAGGTGGTGGAGAAGTGTTCCTTTTTCTCCAATCCTCTCCAGCATAAACTGTCATTGGTGTTTTTGATTTTGACCATTCTGAAAGGAGTAAGATGGTATTTCAGAGTTGTTTTGATTTGCATTTCCCTGATGGCTAAGGATGCTGAACACTTTCTTATGTGTCTTTCAGCCATTTTAGATTCCTCTATTGAGAATTGTCTATTTAGTTCTGTACCCCACTTTTTAATTGGATTGTTTGGTGTTTTGGTGACTAGCTTCTTGAGTTCTTTGTATATTTTGGAGATCAGCCCTCTGTCAGATGTGGGGTTGGTGAAAAGATTCCTAGTCTGTGGGCTGCAGTTTTGTCTTGCTGACTGTGTCCTTTGCCTTACAGAAGCTTCTCAGTTTCAGGAAATAGACTTTGGTTTCTGATAGTTGTGCATTCTTTGTTTTTGTTTTTATTTTTCTTATTATACTTTTAGTATTTAAAACAATTTTCAAAATTTAATCTTATTATGCTTGTATTATTTCCCTCCCATGATTCTTTCCACATCTTATCCCCCTCCTTACCCACCTACATATAAATTCTTTCTCAACAAACATAAATACAAACTAATAAAAATAACCCTGCCCAAAATAGTAAAACACTGAAACAGACAAAGTTAAGACACGGAACTGTAACCAAATAAAACGACACAGGCGGGAGGGAGCTAGGAGAATGAGAAGGGGAGAAGAGGAAGGGTGAGGAGGACATGAGGGAGCAGAAAGATTGAGTCAGGGGAAGAGTAGAAGAAAACAAGAAAGGAGATATTATAATAGAGGGAGACATTTTAGGTTTACAGAGAAATCAAGCACTAGGGAAATGTCTGTAGATCTACAAAGATGACAACAGCTAACAATCTAAGCAACAGAGGAGAGGCTACTTTAAATACCCTCCCCTGATAATGAGATTGATGACTGACTTATATGCCACCC